TTTATTTATAACAATTTGGATTTTATAATTCTAGAACTGTACAAATTAAATTTTCTGTTGCCTAGAGCATGACATCAGTAGTGGATCTAAAATTTCATTTAGGGAGAACTTCACCGCGATGAGACAGAATTCATATAAAATATCAATTACATTATTTGAAGTTTAAAATTGAAAATTCAATTGCCCACTCTACATTTGTGGTATTAAAAAAAAATTGATTGGAAAAAAATGGAGCTAACAACTCTTTTTAAGATATAAACTTAAAAGTGGTTAAACTATATACTCTTCGTATCTTTAAATTTCAATAATTTGTTTTGGAGTATAAAAACTAAATGGTTATAAATAAATAAGTATAAGAGTAAAATATTAAGGGAGTGAAAAGTACATGAATAAAAACATGTTAAAATGAAAAGAAATTTGTTCGGGAAAATACACTTTTTTTTAAAAAGGTTATTTTAGTATAATAAGTGAAGGTGGAAGATTTGATCTAGTAATTTCTTGATTAAAGACATGTACTCATTGCTGTTGAGTTGAGTTGATGTTAGAATTGATGACTTTGTCCTTGGTATTCAATTGGATTGAGATTATTTTTTTTAACAATATAATTAAACTTTGAAAAAAAAAAGGGGGAAATCATAAGCATATTAATGGTTTTAGATATTTGAAAAATTTGATGAAGTCATAAGACTGACATTTAATGACAATTTAGTGGTGATTTGAAACGTTTTGTGAGGAAGATGACCAAAGTCAAATATCGTTTATTTCCAACAATTCTATCTTTAATTTTGATTGCCTTTTTCCTCCCTCTATTTCAAACCTCACATTCACATGTATTAACTGTAATTAAATGTCCCGTACCGTAAATTCGATTTTTTATTTTTTTGTTCTACTTAAAAAAAGTTACAATTGAATCTACTAAAAAACCATAATTAAATTTAAATTCCTACCATATCCTTCACGAACACGCATTAAATTGATTATAATATGTGGGGACGATGATCAAACTCACAATCTTTTGTTGAAGATATATGCTAATTACTATGAAACTAGGTTGACTTTAACCTTGACATAAATTGGTTAAAACAATTATTGGGTGAATGAGTGATTAAATAACACCGAGAACCAAAATGATCATTTGTTGGGTCGAAGACTAAAATAAATGTTTTACGATAATTATTTGAAAAGAATGGATCAAAATGAGATGCAAACTTTTTTATTAAATAAAAATTAATAGTTTGAATATATTTTTTGATTTCTACTTGGTTATTTTAATTTTTTTTTGTAAATTTACCAAAAATTTATAATTTTCTTATATAACTTTATCAATATTGTGCGTTATTTTTTCCCATATGATATCATAATCTTCCTTCACTATGTTCAAATAAAATGTACCCTTTGTCCAAAAAGAAAAATAAAATATACTACCCCAGAGTTTAAGATAATTGTCAATTTTTGGTGAGGTCAATTATATAATAACGAAATTGAAATCAAACACAAACTAGGACTCAAATGATGACTTAACCCATATCAATACTAGTTATTCAGAAAAAAAAATCATGTGATTTTTTTCATTTATTTATAGCTCAGAATTTTTACTAGTAGGACTAAATTGGAAATTTATTAAAATTTGAAGGGATAAAACGTAAAATTTAAATCTGAGGGATCAAATCATAAAAATAATTTTATTTTTTTGAATTTATTGCACTGAATCTTCAATTCAATAATGCCCAGAGCCTCGCGCGTATAATCTGTTGGGTATTTGACCGGACATTGCGAAAGAAGTCTACTAAAATGCTTAACCATGGTTAGTCCACCTAACCATAGTTAAGTCGCTTCGAGTTCCCGGTTCCATCTAAGCTGCTCCGTCACATCGGTTCCACAGAAACAAACTTAAATAAATAAATATCACATTATTATAATATTTTCCAAAAGAACTAATAAAAAAGGTTTTTTCTTTTTCTTTTTCTTTTTTTAATTGCTTAACTCGACGGCGTTAAGGACTCCGTGAGATTGGTTAACGCCGGTGGAGAAACGTAACGTGGATTGGAGAAGAGAGGACGGAGCGGGATTTGAAGTTGATGGAAAAGCAGAGGAGGGATCAGAGCCGCACGAT